CCACACAGCCCTGCACTTAAGCTGTGTGTAATGAAAAACGGGTTGGGATGAGTCAGGGAGAGCTAGAGTGGAGGCAGTCTCTAAAGCTGTCTTCAAGGAACAGAAAGAGGAGTGGGGAAAGGATTTAGGATCTATGGGGTCAGCTAGGTTTCCTTTGGTGAGTTTACATAATGGTTTTGTTAGGATGGCAAAACCAGGTATCCAAAGATGGAGTATCTAACCATGCCTAGGAAAGAAAGGAGTTGTTGCTTTGTAGGAGGGGTTGGGGTTTGGGAGATTAGCCGGACACGATCAGCAGGGAGAGCATGTGTGTTTTCATGAAGAATTATGTCAAGATAGGTAATGATGAGGAAGCAATTTGGGCTTGACTGAAGTAATGGTGGCTGTCCATGAAGACTTGCAGCAGTACAGCCCAGGTAATTTCCTGAGCCTGATGGGTGTCAGGGTCAGTCCAAGTGAAAGTGAAGAGAGGCTGGGATGAAGGGTGCAAAGGAATAGTAAAGAAAGCATGTTTGAGATCTGAACAGAATAATGTGTTATGGAGGGGCTGTGGATCTCAAACATGCCTCAGAGAGGTACTGCAGGGGGGCAGAGCAGTAGCCTCAATGATAGATGTGAAAGAGACTATAGCATAGCGTGCCTTTCCTGGTGAGTGGCCATTAGGCCTGGTGAAACTGCCATCAATAAACCAAGTGTGATCAGGGTGAGGAACAGGAAATAAGGAAATATGGGGAAACTGAGTGAATGTCAGGTGGATCAGAGAGATACAGTCATGGGGATCAGGTGTGGTATCAGGAATAATGTAGGGGCCAGCCTAAAGCAGTAAGGTCAAGTTGTTTGGACAGAAAGGCTACAGGGCACGGTCCCAGCTCTTATGTAAGAATTTTGACCACACAGCCTTGTACTTTGGTTGTGTGTAATGAAAAGAGTTGGGATGAGTTAGGGAGAGCTAGTGTGGGAGCAGCTTCTAGGGCTGTTTTTAAGGAATGGAAAGAGGAGTGGCAAAAGGATTTAGGATCTATAGGGTCAGCTAGGTTTATCTAGAACAGAATAATGGGTTGTGGAGGGAGGTATTGAGGATAGGAGAGTATACGGGTTTGGCACCATGGGTTGGATAGGCAGGACAATTTGGTTGATAAGGCGCAGATCCTGAACTAAACTGTAAGACTTGTCTGGTTTTTGGACAGGTAAAATGGGGGAATTGTAAGGAGAGTTTATAGGCTTTAAAAGGCCATGCTGTAACAGGCAAGTGATAACAATCTTTAATCCTTTTAAAGCCTGCTGTGAGATGGGATACTGGCATTGAGCGGGGTAAAGGTGATTAGGTTTTAATGAGATGGTAAGGGGTGCATGACTGGTCACCAAGGAGGGAGTAGAGGTTTCCTATACTTCTGGATTAAGGTTGGGAGATACAAAGGGAGGATGTGAAGGAGGCTTTGAACTGGAGAAAGTGCAGCAATAAGGTGTGGCTGTAGCCTAGGAATAGTCAGGGAAGCAGATAATTTAGTTAAAATGTCTCAACCTAATAAGGGACCTGGGCAGGTGGGGATAACTAAAAAGGAATGCATAAAAGAATATTGTCCAAGTTGGCACCAGAGTTGGGGAGTTTTAAGAGGTTTAGAAGGTTTAGAAGCCTGGACGTCAATACCCACACAGTCATGGAGGCAAGGGAAACAGGCCCTTGAAAAGAAGGTAATGTGGAGTGGGTAGCCTCCATATTGATTAAGCAGGCGATGGACTTACTCTCCACTGTAAGAGTTACCTAAAGTGTCTGTTGAAGGGGTGGCCTGCCCCTCCTCACCTATGGGCGTTTCTCGTTGGGGGAATGAGAGACTTGAGAAAAGAAATGAGACACAGAGACAAAGTATAGAGAAAGAAAAAGTGGGCCCAGGGGACCGGCACTCAGGCACCGGTCTCTGAGTTCCCTCAGTATTTATTGATCATTATCTTTACCATCTTAGAAAAAGGGAAGTGACAGGATAATATGATCATCATAGGGAGGTCAGCAGTAAGACATATGAATAAAAGTCTCTGTGACATAAGTTTAAGGAAAAGTGCTGTGCCTTGATATGCATATGTAAACATCTCCATAAACCTTTTTAGTGCATAAAGAGCAGCATTGCACTAGCAAGTCCCACCTTCAGCCCTAAGGCGGTTTTCTCCTTTCTCAGTAAACAGAACATACAATCGGGTTTTACACCGAGATGTTCCATTGCCCAGGGACGGGCATGAGACAGATGCTTTTCTCTATCTCAACCAGCAAGAGGCCTTCTTTCCTTTTATACTAATCCTCCTCAGCACAGACCCTTCACGGGTGTCAGGCTGGGGGACGATCAGGCCTTTCCCTTCCCACGAGGCCATATTTCAGACTATCACATGGGGAGAAACCTTGGACAATACCTAGCATTCCTAGGCAGAGGTCCCTGCGACCTTTGGCAGTGTGTCCCTGGGTACTTGAGATTAAGAGAATGGTGATGACTTTTCACAAGCATACTGCCTTCAGGCACTTGTTTAACAAAGCACACCCTGCACAGCCCAAAATCCTTTAAACCTTGAGTCACCACAGCACATGTCTCTTGCAAGAATAAGGCTGGGGGTAGGGTCCCAGATTAACAGCATCTCAAATACAGAACAAAATGGAGTCTCTTATGTCTACTTCTTTCTATATAGACACAGTAACAATCTGATCTTTCTTTTCCCCACATCTGTGATGGTCCAGGAGGCTTCCGAGGCAATTGAGTAGCGTCAGTCTTCAGCCGCTAAACCAAGAAGATCTGGGAAAGAGTCAGTCCGAGAGCCTTGGGCTAGAGTTCCAGGGGCTCTGGGAGTGGCTGCTGGACGAGCTGGACAGTCTGATTTCCAGTGAGGTTTCGCACAGATGGGACACGACTTAGGAGGAATCCCGGGCTGCAGGCATTCCTTGGCCCAGTGGCCAGATTTCTGGCACTTGAAGCAAGATCCTGAGGGAGGCAGTGCCGTAGGAATGCCTGACTGCAGTGGCTTAGGCATTTTGAAGTTCTTGTGTACTGGAGGTGCGGCTGGGTTTTGTCTCACAGCAGAGACAAGTAATTTTAACTCTTCTTTATTATTGTACACCTTGAAGGCAAGGTTAATTAAGTCCTGTTGTGGGGTTTGAGGGCCAGAATCTAATTTTTGGAGCTTTTTCTAATGTCAGGAGTGGGTTGGGTAATAAAATGTATATTGAGAATATGACGGCCTTCTGGCCCTTCCGGGTCTAGGGCAATAAACCGTCCAAGGGTTGTTGCCAATGGGCCATGAACTGGGTTGAGTTTTTATATTTGATGAAAAAGAGCCTAAACGCTAGCTGATTTGGGAAAGGTCGGATAAAGAAAAAGGAGTATTAACCTTGGCTATGGCTTCAGCTCCACCTACCTTTTTAAGAGGAAATTGTTGGGCAGGTCAGGGAGGGCTAGCGGCAGAACGAAACTGTAAGCCGGACCAGGTGTGAGGAGGGCAGGTGATAAAAGGATTATAGGGTGGGGGAGCGGAGGCTGAGGAAGAATTGGGACCTGACTCGGCCAGGCAAGGAACAGCCTGGGGAGGAGAGGTCAGATGGGTCTGTAGAAAAGAAAGATTCAAAAGACTCAGTGACGCTTGTGGTTGGGACGAAGGAACAGACAGGAGAGAAAGAAGAAAGATTTGGGATGAGTCACATTGGGAGCAGAGACTAGGGAGGGACTAATGTGTAAAAGAATGCCTGGACCTCAGGCACCTCAGACCTATTTGCCCATTTTTTGACAAAATCAACCAGGTCTTGTAAAATGGAGAAATCAAAAGTGTCATTTTCTGGCTATTTAGAACCATTATAGAGCTTGTATTGGGGCCAAGCAGTGTTGCAGAAGAAAATAAGATGCTTGGTTTTAGGTCAGGTGAGAGTTGAAGAGGTTTTAAGTTTTTAAGAACATAGGCTAAAGGAGAAGATGGGGGAATGGAGGGCTAAAGGTTGCCCATAGTGAAGGAGATAAGTTTAAAGAGAAAGGTAGAGACACGGAGAAGGGGGTGGGTGAGCAGCCAAAGCACGTGTCCCCGCAATTGACTTGCCACCAAGGGAATGTGGGTGAATGACCAAGGCAGGCGTCCCCATGGTGATCAGACACCAATGGAGTGTGGGTGAATAATCAGGCAGGCATCCCCGCAGTGATTAAACACCAAGGGAAGACTGTCTTCCCGAGTCCGTGATCGGAGCCGGAGTTTTGGGTCCATGGATAGAATGTGTCTCCTTTGCCTCTACTAGAGAGGAAAAAGAACTGGAATCGGAAGGACAGGGAGATTGAAGGGTAGCAAGAGAGGGAGATTGAAGGGTAGCAAGAAAGGCTGGAGAAGAGAGTGAAAAGACCGCTTACCCGATTTGAAATTGGTGAGATGTTCCTTGGACTGGTTGATCTGAGGACCTGAGGTCATAGGTGGATCTCCTCACAGAGGAGAGGACGGGGGACCAGTCTCCCGAAGGAGTCCTTCTGACCCGGGTCTTCGGCACCAAATTTCACACATGTCCGTGTGAAGACACCACCAAACAGGCTTTGTGTGAGCAACAAGGCTGTTTATTTCACCTGGGTGCAGGTGGACTGAGTACAAAAAGAGAATCAGTGAAAGGAGATGGGATGGGGCCATTTTATAGGATTTGGGTAGGTAATGGAAAATTACAGTCAAAGGGGGTAGTTCTCTGGCCGGCAGGGGTGGGGGTCACAAGGTGCTCAGTGGGGGAGCTTCTGAGCCAGCAGAAGGAATTTCACGAGGTAATGTCATCAGTTAAGACAGGAACAGGTCATTTTCACTTCTTTTGTGATTCTTTAGTTACTTCAGACCATCTGGATGTATACACACAGGCTTGGGCTCCGAGGACTGACAGTTTCCCTTTTCACTTGGTTCTCATCCTCTCTTGTGTTCCGCCATGTCAGACGTGCCTTTCACCTTCCACCATGATTGTGAGGCCTCCCCAGCCATGTGGAACTGTGAATCCATTAAACCTCTTTTTCTTTGTAAATTGCCCAGTTTCAGGTATGTCTTTGTATCAGCAGTGTGAAAGTGGATTAACATACTCCCTCAAACGGGGATGATCATGATCATTACAATAGCTACAATCTTAATATTTTTAAAGCACAGTACCTAGAATCCACTAATCTATGAACTGATCTTGAGCAAGCCTGTTTCCTACTCAGACCCCAAGCTCAGTATGAACGTAACTTTCCATGCCTCTGTGCAATGCTGCAAAAGGCCTGCATTCTTAGAGTCCATAGGAGTGTGCTCAAAACACAAAAGTCCCAGTGACCCCGCACGGCTTGACATCAAAGCAAAGGTGGCAGGAGTGTGTCCCCTGGCCACTTGCCTTCTCACTCGAACAGACTGTGGATGTAGCACTTGCTCGTGGGTAATTGTGGATCTGACTTTCCAAAAGTACAAGTATGTGGCCACTTTAATCACTGAGCTTCAGTTTCGCTCTCTGTAAAATAGGGAGAACTAATAATCCTAGCTGCAGGGATTAAATGGTGGATGCAAACAGCCTTGTACGAAGTTGTTATCTGTACAGAGGAAAAAGCGGGTGTCACTGGCATGGAAAGACCCGGAGGATACAGCCCAGCCTTTCTCTGTCTTGTTCATCTCCTGGTCTTTTAAACGGGAGTGGGGCGGGGCCACGGCATCGATCACTCAGCACTCCTCTAGGCACTGCGTCGTGATCAGACGAGCGGTGAGCGATCGATACTCCTATGCTAGCCTCTGACTCTTCGGGAGAGACAGCCGCGTCGTCGGACCAAAAGCAACCAGTAGTCGCCAGCCCAAAGGCGACTCGACACCGTCCCAGCTGAAGAGAGGTTAGTCTGAGCAACTCGAGAGCGGAATCAGCTCCAGTTCCTCAGAAGTGGAGACGCCGGGTTCAGAGGCATAGACCGCGCAGGCGTCATGTGAAGCAGACAAGCCTGGCCTCGCGCGTGCGCCTTGGAAAGCCCGAGGCTGGCTCGAGTGGGCGCATGCGCTCTGGGCTGGCCTGCGCTGCCGGAGACAGGGAAAGGCTCCGCGCGTGCGTAGTGCTCGTCCTCTGGCAATGGCTTTGCGCATGCGTGAGGGCAGACCCTTAAGGCAGGCTGCTGTGCGCTTTCGCGTTTCTTGGCGTCTAGTCGGTATAGCCCTAGTGCGCCTGCGCGGGTTGTATTCTCTCATGTGTGTGTGTGTCCGCTGGTTTTGGGCAATCAGCCGCTGCCCCTGGGCCGCAAGGCCGGCTGGGAACGATTCAGCTGTCAGGTCCCAGATAAGAGCCGCGAGAAATGTAGCCCCGGGAAAGGCGCTGAGGAGGAAAGGGGGTCTGAGGCCTGAGGCCTCGGGGGGCTCAAGGCTAGTGCGGGGTGGGACCCTGTGGGGCCTGGGTGTGTGGCTGCCCTAAGGAAAGGTGCTTGTAGCTCGGTAAGACTTAACGATGGGCATCGGTGCGTTTCCCAGCAACGGTAAGAATCGCCGTGCTCGGGAGGACACGGGAGCAAGCCCGGGGTCAGGAGGTGCGCGGGCGTTGGGGCCACACGGATGACCCAAACACAAGACTGTGTGCCCCTTAGTGAGCCAAAGGGATCTTTGTGCCATGAATAAAGCTCTCTGGAAAATGTTCCAAACTTCTCTGGGAAGTTTTACAAAGCTCTTGTTTTTGCACAAGTTTTGTGGAATACTGCCATAATAACATTGAAGAGATTAGAGAACTGGATTGCCTGTTCCAAGAAAGCCCGATGTAGGCTGACCTGTCCTGGAAGCCCCCTTTGAGAGGCTTTCTCATGACCAGCATGGTGCTCACAGAGTGCCCACCCTGAGACCCTCTGCAAATCACAGTGAGGCTCTCGGAGAGGCCGTTCCACCCAGCCACCTTAAAGAATACTCAGGGAGGTGCTTTAGAGGGGTTGATGTTTAGAAATAATTTAAGGCTGGGCGCGGTGGCTCATGCCTGTAATCCCAACCCTTTGGGAGGCCGAGACAGGCCGGTCACTTCAGGTCAGGAGTTCACGAGACCAGCCTAGCCAACATGGTGCAACCCCGTCTCCACTAAAAATACAAAAATTAGCTGAGTGTGGTGGTGCACACCTGTAATCCCAGCTACTCGGGCGGCCGAGGCAGGAGAATTGCTTGAACCTAGGAAGCAGAGGTTGCAGTGAGCTGAAATTGGGGTTGCATTCCAGCCTGGGTGAGAGGAGACTCCGTCTCAAAAAAAATAAAAATAATTTGAAAGAATCCTGGGATGGCAGGGCAGTGGTTTCCAAGAGGGATATATCCCGTAACCTACCAGGAACCCACTTGGCTAGTGTGCATAGTGAATTCTGTCTGGATGCTGAATTTATAAAGTCCAGGCCCGAGTCTTCAGACTTATATACAGGCTATACGTGGCTCCTTTTTGTTTAATACGACCAACAAGAAGCCTTTTATAAGATTCATCTTAGTCTTGTTTATAAATCCAGGAGAAAAACCACTCTGAGAGGTTAGCACATGACAGCCTATATTCTGACCTTCTTTGCAAGATCATTTCATACACCAGCAGACAAGACTTTAAGGAGCATTTAGGGGCTGAATCAAGTCCACTCAAAAGCTGTTTTGTGCAACCCACGCTTGATCTTCCCCCTGAAAGCTGTTCTAGGTTATGAGGCCAGTTCACAAAGCCAGGACATAAGACCACTCAAGCTGTTTCTATACCTGATCCCCCAGCCCCCTGCCAAAAAAAAAAAAAGCCTTCCCTGGGCCGGGCATGCTGGCTCACGCCTGTAATCTGAACTTTGGGAGGCTGAGCCAGGCGGATCACCTGAGGTCAGGAGTTCAAGACCAGCCTGGGCAACATGGTGAAATCCCATCGCTACTAAAAATAGAAAAATTAGCTGGGTGTGGTGGCGGGCGCCTGTAATCCCAGCTACTCGGGAGGCTGAGGCAGGAGAATCGCTTGAACTCGGGAGGCAGAGGTTGCAGTGAGCCGGGATGGCACCATTGCACTCCAGCCTAGGTGACAGAGTGAGACTCTTGTCTTTAAAAAAAAAAAAGAAAAAAAAAATGCCGTCTCCAATCAACAAGAGGTCTTTGAAGGCCAATACTTGTTGAGTTCTGGGAGACTGCCTTGTAAAGTGAAGATACAAGGCCACTCAGGCTTTTTCATATGGCCCACATTTGGGTTATGGTAGGTGTCAGTTTGCCTGGAATAACACCAGTTTTTTACTGATGCAGACATAAATATTAATAGCATCTTGGTTTGGATGACCCACCTACACCTGGCCACTAGAAGGCTATCTGTACACCTCCCAATAAACCCTTTTCTGTGGAGCTCTTGAAAGCCAGTGTGTGGCACCACTCTCAAAGACTGCTTCACACATCTTTTTTCTTCTTGCAGATAACTGACAAGTCACACATCTTATTCTCGACTCTCCCTTCTTTGGAAGCCTGTTTGTTTAGCCTTTTGTGTGTGTGTTCTTTTTTTTTTGGGGGGGGGAGGGACGGAGTCTTGCTCTGTCACCCAGGCTGGAGTGCAGTGGCTAGATCTCGGCTCACCCCAACCTCTGCCTCCCAGGTTGAAGTAATTCTCCTACCTCAGCCTCCCGAGTAGCTGGGATTACAGGCGTGCACCACCATGCCGGCTAATTTTTGTATTTTTAGTAGAGATGGGGTTTCACCATGTTGGCCAGGGTGGTCTGGAGCTCCTGACCTCAGATGATCCACCCTCCTCGGCCTCCCAAAGTGCTAGGATGACAGGCAAGAGTCACTGCACCTGGCCTTAATATAAGACTTTGTAAACAGCAATTCAGTAAGGAGTTCTGGGAAGCCAATCAATAAAGCCAGGCCATAAGGCTACTCTGGCTGGTCCTTTCCTCTAGAAAATTGCTTGATACAACAAGAAGCCTTTTTATCAGACCACTATGTGGGGAATGTCGGAAAGTTGATGAGCCTGGACCTGAGGCCCGCACCTGACCTTCCCAGGAGGCCCATCTCAAGTGGTTGGTGGTGTGAAGGCTGCTTCTCACAGCCCATGAGGCCAGCGACCCTGGAAGATTGTTTTACACAGCTAGCAAGAGAGTGTTTCCCCAGCCAGACCAAGACTCCTTCTGTAACGCCTTTTTGCACGGCTAACAGGAGCCAATGTGTCTGCTCCCTGCGGGGGTAGATGGACACAACAAACAACACTTTCCTGTCACTGTGAAGAAACCAGATCGATTTGTAAAACTAAGACAAAATCTGACTTCACTGGGTCCTCAGACAAGCCCCCATCTATAGAAAGGCCAGTTTTTAAAACAAGTTACAAGGGCTGGGCACGGTGGCTCACACCTGTAATCCCAGCACTTTGGGAGGCTGAGGTGGGCGGGTCACTTGTGATCAGGAGTTCGAGACCAGCCTGGCCAACATGGCAAAACCCCGTCTCTACTAAAAATACAAAAATTAGCCAGGCATGGTGGCAAGTCGTGCCTGTGGTCCCAGCTACTCAGAGGCTGAGGCAGGGGAATCACTTGAACCTGGGAGGCGGTGATTGCAGTGAGCTGAGATCGCATCACTACACTCCAGACTGGGTGACAGAGCAAGACTCCGTCTCAAAAAACCGTTTTGGAAAACTGTTTCCTGTACCAGGAGGTGGCTGTTTGATATGGCAACTACATAAAAGGCCAAATTATGAGAGGTTTGGGGAAGTCTATGCAACCAGGCAGCAGACTCATACGGCCAGAATGCCACTTCACCATGCTGCCAACGTAAGGCCTTGTAGGAAGCTGTAGTTTTATTTTATTTTTTGAAACAGGGTCTCACTCAGTCGCCCAGACGGGAGTGCAGAGGCACAAACACGGTTCACTTGTAGCCTTACACTCCTGAGCTCAAGCAATCTTCCTGCTTCAGTCTCCGGAGGAGCTGGGGCTACAGGTGTGTGCTACCACAGCCAGCTAACTAATTTTTAAATATTTTAGAGACAGGGTCTCGAATTCTTGGGCTCAAGCAGTCCTCCTGTTTCAGACTCCCAAGTAGCTGGGATTATAGGTGCCCCGCTGGAGGGTAGTGTATAATATCAATCTTGAGGCCTTTGGGGAGGCCAGCAATCTGAAAAGTCATTTTGAAAACAAACTCATACAGCCATCCTGCACCTCTGTCTCTGGAAGACCATTATATTTTGTCAACATAAGTATCTCTGAAGGCCTTTTGATAAGGCCATTCATTGAAGAACTCTGCATTAAAGAATAACAATAAGGCTATTTCATGCGGCCAAGAGGAGATTGTTTTGTACAGCCAACTCGCAGTATTAGGAAGCCATCTTTCCCAGGACGAGGCTGTGTCCATTGGCCTTCAACATGAGGTCTCCAAGGCCAAGTTGCAAAGTAGCAGATAGGCTGCCTTAGGAGGCAGTTTATGAAGACCAAATGTGAGGCCACCCTGGGAGGCCAGGTGACAAAGCAGCACACGGGGCCACTGGGCAAACCTGGCTACAAAGCCACACATGTGAGGCCACCTTGAGAAGCTGGCTTTGTAAGGCTGATAGGCGCCCTGTGAGGGGCCATTTTATAAGGTCACTCTGAAACACCAGTTCATAAAGCCCGTAGTCTGCATTGCAAGGAACAGGTTTATAGCCCATTTGAAACCCTCTGGGAGGCCGTTTTCTAAGGTCGTCAAGAGAGAAGTTTACAAAGCTGGTACGTAGAGCCCCAGTGGAAGCCAGTTTTATAGTAAGGCAATAAATGGTCTCCTGGGAGGCCTTTCCACTAGCCTTTATGAGAAGCCAGGATATGAGGCCCCTGAGGTCTTTTGGATGCTCAAGATGAGACTTCTCCATGTTGCTCTATGAGATTTATAGAAGACACATGGGATGAGGCCAGGGATGGGCCCATGTGGTGTCTTGTGCTGGCCTAGTGGATAAGTCCATGCTGGAAATTGGACTATGAAACTCTCCAAGAAGGCTGTGAATGAGGCCAGCACAAGCATTTTAGGAGGTTAGAGATGGAACCCACCCTGGCAGGCTGGGGCTCTCTGAGGCCTACCACACCCTGAGCTTGCTAGGAAGAATGTTCATTGTGAACCAAGGACGGAAATGAACTCATTGTGAGCTCAGCCCTGTAGATACAAAGTCCAAAGAGCTCACCCTTGGGGGCGATGAGTGTTCTGGGCAGACACTGCCACTTACTCTGTAGTTTTGGACAAATTGCTAAACCTCTGAAATCTCAGTTTATTCATCTGTAAAACTCCCATCGTAGGACTGCAAGGGACATGTTAATATATGTCAAGCATGCAGCGTTGACATGGCACACAGGAGAGGGTGCTGAGATCGGCCGGAATTTAAGCCCTGCTTCTGCACAAATGATTGACCGTCGGCCTCGGGGCAAGTCACTTCATTTTTGTTTTTTTAAAATTTGAGACAGGATCTTGCTCTATCACCCAGGCTGGTGTCATGATCTCGGCTTACTGCAACCTTTGCCTCCAGGCTTAAGTGATCCTGCCACCTTCAGCCTCCCGAGTACCTGGGACCACAGGCATGTACCGCCATGCCCAGCTAATTTTTGTATTTTTTGTAGAGACGGGGTCTTGTCATGTTGGCCAGGCTGGTCTTGAACTCCTGAGCTCAAGCGATCCAATTGCCTTGGCCTCCCAAAGTGCTGGGATTACAGGCATGAGCCACCATACCAGCGTCCTCAAATACTTTTCAAAGTCTGGCACTCCCGAGTGCCTGCCATGAGCAGACTCTGCTTTTAGGCTCTGGGGAAACGTAGAGGAATGAGCTACATTCTTGCCCTGGTGGAGGTGGCAGTGCAGTGTTGGATAGAAACACATGTAAGCCAGTGTTTGCATAAATCCTGACAAGTGCTGTAAGAGAAGCTCAAGGGCTGCAGGAACACAGCACACTGCTGGAGAATCTTGACAGGCCTCACATAGGGATATTTAAGATGGGCCTTAAAGGTTGAGTAGGAGTTTGCCAGGCAGCAGAGGGGTATGGGAGGCCTTGCAGACAAGGACAATACACGTTCCTTTCTGAACATTTATCCAGTGCTCACTGAGTACCAGGTGTTGCGACAGGCCCTGAAGATACAGCGGTGACCCCAGACAGATGGGGGCCCTCCCCTCCAGAGCTTCTGCCCAGCAGAGAAAACCACTGTTGAAAAATCCTCGCAGATGAGATGCGGGAAACTGCGGGAACCCACAGGGGATCAGGTCTGTCCTGGTGTCTGACTCTTGCTTCTCTCCACCTCCCCAGGCACGTGTCTGACTGAGCCGGCAGTGACCTGATGGCTGGAGACCCCCACTGCCCCGCAGAGCCCCTGGCCAGAGAAGGCACTCTTTGGGAGGCCCTCAGGGCACTCCTGCCGCACACTAAAGAAGACCTGAAGTTGGACCTCGGGGAGAAGGTGGAGAGGAGCATGGTGACGTTGTTGCAGCGAGCCACTGAGCTCTTCTACGAGGGCAGGAGGGACGAGTGTCTGCAGACCAGCGAGGTAATCCTGGACTACTCCTGGGAGAAGCTCAACACGGGCACGTGGCGGGACGTAGACAAAGACTGGCGCCGGGTCTACGCCATCGGCTGCCTCCTGAAAGCCCTGTGTCTGTGCCAGGCACCTGAGGATGCCACCACTGTGGCCACGGCCCTGCGGGTCTGTGACATGGGCCTGCTGATGGGGACGGCCATCCTGGGGGACATCCTCCTTAAAGTCGCCGCCATCCTCCAGACACACCTTCCTGGAAAGAGGCCTGCCCACGGCTCCACCCCGGAGCAGCCCTGCACAAAGGTATGTGGGGGCGATTGCCGCAAGCACACTAGCCATCCAGCAATGCTGTTCTTCTAGAAGTTCCGAGTCATCTCTCCCCCGGGGTGAGGACTCGTGGCCTGCATCCCCTCTGATGGAAGATAGCATCTCCACTGATTCTGAAGTTCTGTTTGTTTTCCGAAGTAGGCTCCCGTTCTGTCGCCCAGGCTGGAGTGCGGTAGTGCGATCTCGGCTCACTGCAGCCTCCACTTCTTGGGTTCAAGCAATCCTTCTGCCTCAGCCTTGTTAGTAGCTGGAACTATGGCGGCATGGCACCACACCCAGCTAATTGTTTTAGTTTTTTCTTTATTTTTCATTTTTTGCAGAGATAGGGTCTTATTATGTTTCTCAGGTTAATCTGGAACTCCTGGCCTAAAGCGATCCCCCTGCCGTGGCCCCCCGAAGCACTGAGATTACAAGTGTGAGCCACTGTGCTCAGCCCTCATTGATTTTTGAAATGGAACAGCTCCATTCATTTTCTCAAAAAAAAAAAAAGAAAGCTTTTTCCTTTTTTTTTTCCTTTTTCTTTTTTTTTTCCTTTTTCTTTTTTTTTTTGCAAAGGCAGTGCCCTTTCAGCAGAGAGGCAACAGAGAAGCTTCGTGGTTCCTGAGAATAGCTTACAGCGATTGTCTGGGTGAGAGCTGCAGCCAGCGGCGGCCCGTTTCTTTCAGCTGCTTCTCGGTGGGCTTGCTGAAGTCTCACCCAGGCGAGGCGATACCTCCGGCTGCTCCTGTCTCTCTGCTCCTGGGTTTGGATGAGATACTACAACTAGCTGATGTCTGTTTTGGGGATCAATCTCTCCCACCTCTTGGGGCTATATGCCTGTTCCAAAGAGCACCCCCAGGAACAGAGCACAGTTTACTCTGAAGGCTTCAGGTCCTGGTGCCCACACACAGGCCTCACTTACAACACCCCCAAGCAAGTCACTTAACCTCCTTTGAGCCTCGGTTTCCTTGTCTGTAGAGTGGCCGATAACTGACCCACAGAAAGAAATGACTAAGACTGTACTAGACACTCAGTAGTGGAATTATGGGATGTTTCTGACATTTTTCTAAATGCTATGTTTTCAGAATTTCCTACAATGCATATTATTATTATTATTGTTATTATTTTTGAGACGGAGTCTCACTCTGTTGCCCAGGCTGGAGTGCAGTGGCACAATCTCAGCTCACTGCAACCTCCGCCTCCCGGGTTCAAGCGATTCTCCTGTCTCAGTCACCTAAGTAGCTGGGATTATAGGCGCCCACCACCATACCTGACACTTTTTGTATTTTTAATACAGACAGGGTTTCACCGTGTTGGCTAGGCTTGTCTGGACCTCAGGTGATCCACCCACCTCAGCCTCCTAAAGTGCTGGGATTGCAGGGATGAGCCACAAATTATTTTTATGTAAGAAAAATGCAAGTGATTGACACTAAACACACATGCATGTAACCAAAATAAAAGAAAATCCAATAAAGGGAGAAGAAACATTTTCAACAAATAGGTCAGATAATGAATATCTCTATTATGTAAGGAATGGTACAAATCAATAGGGAAAAATTCTTGAGCCCCAGGAGGTAGAAGTCCAGGAACCTGAACAGACTGTTCACAAGAAGGAAATAGATCTGTTAAACAAATGTGCAGGAAAATGTTCAGCCTCACCTCTGGTTAAAAAAATGAGAGAGAGAGATGCAAATAGCAAAACAGCATGTCATCTTTGGCTCTTAAGTTAGCAAACAAGGCTTCATATGATACCTGGTGTTGCCAAGGGCACCATGTGGCCAAGGGCATGGTGTGTGGGTTACTCTTTTATTTTGTTTCTTTTTTTTGTAGACAGGGTCTTGCCCAGTCACCCAAGCTGGAGTGCAGTGGCACAATCTTAGCCCTCTGCAGGCCAGGCGTGGTGGCTTACGCCTATAATCTCAGCACTTTGGGAGGCCGAGGCTGGCAGATCACCTGAGGTCAGGAGTTCGAGACCAGCCTGGCCAACATGGTGAAACCTCATCTCTACTAAAAATACAAAAATTTGCCAGGCGTTCTGGCACACGCCTGTAATCCCAGCTACTCTGGAGGCTGAGGCAGGAGAATTGCTTGAACCCCTGAGCGGAGGTCGTAGTGAGCCGAGATCGTGCCACTGCACTCCAGCCTGGGCAACAGAGCAAGACTCGGTCTCAAAAAAAAAAAAAAAAAAACATAGCTCACTGCAGCCTTGACCTCCTAGGCTTAGGTGATTTCTCCCACCTCAGCTTCCTGAATGGCTGGGACTACAGGCGTGCACCACCATGCCCGGCTTTTTAAATTTTTTCTAGAGATAGAGGTTTCTCTGTGTTGCCCAGGCTGGTTTCAAACTCCCGGGCTCAAGCAGTCCTCCCACCTTGGTCTCCCAAAGTGCTGGGATTACAGGTATGAGCCACTGTGGCTGGCCATTTCCAGCAGGTTCACACCTGTGGACACTGAGGCTCTCAAGCAGCAAGTCACTTACTCAGGTCACCCAGTTGGGAGACGGTTAAGTAAATGATAGTGCAGCCACTCCTAAGAAATTGCAAGGACTGGGTGGCCACGTGGAAACTGCCTTTGATAAATGATTGGAGGGGAGAGGCAGGGCTGCTGCTTCATCGTTGCTGTTACCCCCAGTGGGTCAGAGATATTGTGTGTGTGTGTGTGTGTGTGTGTGTGTGTGTGTGTGTGTGTGTTTAAGATGGGAAACGAACATGCAGGAATGAGAAGACCTTAAGATGATGAAGTTGGAGATAGTAAGTTTTCCTTTATTGCAGAATTTCTGTGAAAGTAGTTTATAATGAAACAAACATTTTTAATGAAATGGTTAAGAAGAAAACCACCTTGATCTCATGAGGAGCAAATAGTAACAGTAGCACTAATAGTAGCAAATGTTGTCTATTGTTGTCACTGGTACTCTTGACAGCTGAGCTCTCCTACCCCAACACAGGTTCCTGGTGGAATGCCTCAAATGTCGACTTCCTGAGGTGCTTGCTAATTTGTTCTGTTTTGATTTTAAACAGAAAGCAAAGACGGACTATGGTTCGATTCCAGATGTGAACTTAGAAAGAACAGTCCCCCGGCTGCACCGTCCGTCCCTCCAGCATTTCAGGGAGCAGTTTTTGGTTCCAGGGAGGCCCGTGATCCTGAAAGGCGTGGCTGACCACTGGCCGTGCATGCAGAAGTGGAGGTGGGTGGTCACTGAGGGAGGTCAGGTCCCTCTTCCCATTTTAGCGTTCCCCGGGGCTCCCTGAATTCCTCCCCTGACCATCCCCAGAGGAATGCAGCCTTGTAGATGCTTCACTAGCAGCCCTTGACTGATTGCCAAGGGGTTAAAAAAGAATGAAAAGGAAGGTGCTCTGAATTTATGCCGCAGGTGATGGGATTCTTACCTTCTACCTTCCTCGCCCTAAGCGGTTTTTTAATGAGTCCCTAAGTGGCAGTCCTAGGATGTGTCTGTTAAGCAATTTTTGCAGGATCCCAGCAATTTCAGCCCATCTCAGGGCCCTGAGGCTAAGCACAGAAATAACCCAAGAGACAGCCCCTCTCTCTCTGAGGGATTCTGTGGTCTCTTGTGTTTGTTTCTAGTCCTTTGTCAGATTCATGATGGAGAGATCAGATCAGGCAGCGGGAGCGTGGCTGTCACGCAGAGGCTCTGCATGAGTTTGGAAATAAGGAGGCATCTCTCCAGGAAGGTAGATGGAGTCGGCCTGTTTTGTGGTTTAGCGGAGCGAATGGTACCCGCTGAGACATGTAGAGGACTTCTCATTGCAGGAGCTCTCCTCACAGCAAGCCTTCAATGAAGCATTTTACTGTGTACCTGGCACTAGGACAGGTGTTGTCATCACCCCCATTCTGTAAATGGGGATCAAGGACTCAGAGAGGTTCAGTAACCTCCACAGATCCCCTGGCCTGTACCTGATGAGGCCTGGAATCAGTCCCAGGCTAGAGGGCAGAGCCCAGGGGACCTCACCTCAGCACCCGCCGCGCTGCCCACTATTTGTTCAGAGGTTTCTCAGCTTAGTGACAAAATGAGCGAAGAAAGAAGTGAGGATACCGTTGGCAAGCAGGGAACCAGAGCAGCCCAGCCACCCAGACTTACTGGCCCTATCTGCAAAGCTCTGCGGCACTGTATAGGAGCTGCACAGCCTTGAGCAGGCCCTGCCTCTCCGTGCCCGTTTCCTCATCAGTGAAGCTGGGGATGACAGTCCTCGTCTCTGCACATGAGATTTTCCGAGGATGAAAGGGGACCACATGCAAAGCACACTTACTACTATGCCCAAAAAATATTAGCAGTGATGACGCCAATGTGTGTCTTTCTGCTAGTTTGGAGTATATCCAAGGTATCGCTGGCTGCCGAACCGTCCCAGTGGAAGTTGGTTCGAGGTACACAGACGAGGAATGGTCCCAGACACTCATGACGGTCAACGAGTTCATCAGCAAATACATCGTGAATGAGGTACATCATGGGGACTGCTTTCCCCTAATACTTGGAAGGGAGAGAGCGTAGAACATTTAGGCAAATAACCCTCCGTGTGTTGCCGTGGGAGGTTTTGAAGGAGCCAGTCCGTAAGTCTGTGGTCAGAGGGATGACCACAGCGAGGAAGGCACGCTGCTCGGCCAGCAGACATGAGGGATTCATGTCAGGTCCTTTTTAATGGGCAGGGGAGTATAATTCAGTGGGTTCCAAAAGTTGGACAGCTAAGTCAAGAGTATGTGTATTTAAAATTATAATAGCGGCCAGGCGTGGTGGCTCACCCCTGTAATCCCAGCACTTTGGGAGGCTGAGGCAGGCGGATCACTTGAGCGCAGGAGTTCAAGACTAGCCTGGGAAACATAGTGAAACCCTGTCTCTGTAAAAAATATAAAAATCAGCTGGGCGTAGTGGTGCGTGCCTGTAATCCCAGCTACTCAAGAGGCTGAGGTGGGGCAAATTGCTTGAGCCTGGGAGGCAGAGGTTACAGTGAGTCAAGATCAGGTCACTGCATTCCAGCTTGGACAACAGAAGCAGGCCCTGTCAAAACTAGGACAGGACAGGACAGGATAGGACAGCTTATTTTTCCCAAAAGTTAATCACTTATACTTTCACCAGCAATTAACACAAGTATCCGTTTTCTTACATCTTTGCCTGCACTGTTTGTTGCCATTTTATGAAAATGCTTGCCAATCAGATGGGAGATCAGTGCTTTACAAACTGGGTACCCCAGTGCTGGAGAGGTTCTTTGAAGCTGCCCCAGGGCCTCTAAGGGTTGGAGAGGACCACTCAGGATGGAGTGGAAGGGTGGCGGGGCTGGGGCTGGGGCCAGCTGGACAGCAGCAGCAGGAGGGCATCTGTCACGACTAACTGGGCTTTCTGTGTCGCCTCTGGTTTTCACCGGTGGATTAGCCGAGGGACGTCGGCTACCTTGCTCAGCACCAGCTCTTTGACCAGGTAAGTCTGAGGCCACACTCCTCTGTCCCTCACCTTCTCACCTTCCCCTCTCCTCCCCTCCTGGGCTCAGTGCGGCTGGAGTAGTGGGTGTGAGTAGGAGGGAGGCAGCAGGTGAGGCTGGGAAGTCGACAAGACGTGGGTGACAAGGAGCCATTTTCCTAAAGTGACAGGAAACACTGGGGGTCGCCAGTGCTCCGAGGATTGCAGGAGCCGCTGTTCAGAGATGAAGGGAGCAGCTGTCGGACCGGGTGGCTGACTGGGCTGTTGCTGTGGTGCAAGGAGAGGTGATGCTGGCAGGTGGAGCAGTTCAAGATAGGTGTGAACCGCCGGACCCAGGACATGGGTGGATGTGTGGGGGTGGGAGGGAAGATCAGGGAAGACGCCCAGATTCAGGACCCCAAAACACTAAATAGATGGAGCTGGGGTGCCCAGGAGGGACCTGGCTGTGGTGTCTGCCCGGAGTGCCCAGGGAGGCAGCACTTGGCAGGATTCAAGAATAGGGCCAGGCGCATGGGGTCAGGGCCACAGCCAGGGGTGGGCTGCGGTCGCACCTCTGCAGCCTTTGCAGTGGGGCCCTGGGATGCTGCTCAGCTGCTGTATCTACTGCTGAGGCCAGGGCTGCCTGACTCTATCTTGATGGGGCACCCAAGGACAGTAGGTTCTGTGCCAGGAGCCTTCATGCTGACATTAAAGGAGGCTGGCAGTTTCTCTTCCCTAAGCCTCCCTATTAGGACTTGTGCATGCCGCCTCCTGTCCATGTCACTTGCTCAGTGAGGGAAAGGGGGATTCTAATTGATCGGGTCCCTACTGTGTGATCCCGAGACCCGCCTTTCCCCCGACCCCAGTCATCCTGGGGGCATGGCCTCAGTGTGGGCCGGGGACCCTGGAAGCCACCCCCGACCCCAGTCATCCTGGGGGCATGGCCTCAGTGTGGGCCGGGGACCCTGGAAGCCACCCCCGACCCCAGTCATCCTGGGGGCATGGCCTCAGTGTGGGCCGGGGACCCTGGAAGCCACTCCCGACCCCAGTCATCCTGGGGGCATGGCCTCAGTGTGGGCCGGGGACCCTGGAAGCCACACTTTACCTTGGCTCCCTGTCCTGGAGCAGCTGTTTCATACTTTGTAGAACAGGAGGAGGTATATTTAGGAGTAGAAGGTCAAGTTCACAGTGACTTTCAAGATGAACCAGGACTTGAAAGACGTTTCGGGTAACGGAGGGCCGCCTGGGTGTTTACCTTGGGTCCCAGAGCTGAGTGTCCACCATGCTGTGAGAGGACCCTGGAGAAGTCCCAGCAGCCCATGCCCAGGTGTTGTCATGCCGTGTGGCAAGGACAGTGTTCTAGAACCTTCTCTACCTAAAGGATGCTCAGGGGCTCCTACCAAATTCTTGTCCCAGAACCTCTTACTGACTTTTCTCCCAGGGACCCCGTGTTCTAGAAGATTTTGGCCATCAGTTTAAGCCTGCCTCAATTATCAGTCCCATCTCAGGAATGCTGATTCCCTTGGGGTCTGTGCATCCTTGGCCAGTGATTCCGATGACATGATCTGGTCAGCCAATCACCTTTCAGATATCCTGATGATGTCATCAGGGACCAATCATAGTTTCTGCTCAGATTCCACAGGGCCAGTTCTGGTCAGAAGCAGCAGTGTTGGGTGTTACCTTTGGGAGGAACCCCCAGCAGCCCTGGGAGGGACCTCAGCTTGCGAACTTGTACTTCAGTCCTAAGCAGCAGGCGCGGCTGCGTTTCTGCACAGCTGATTTGAGACAGGCTCTTAAAGGTCTGAATAGCAGTGTCTGGGACCAAGCTCCCTGTGGGGAGAACATTCCAGCTTTTCCCAGTACACACTGGTTTCTGAGCCAGCAGCCTGAAGTTACCGTCACTGCTCCTGAAGGAATGGTAGTGTCCACCTGCAGGTGCCTTCAGGCTGGGGAGCAGTGACTCTAAAAAGACCTGTGTCCCCTGGTAACCCTGTTTTCATGCCTCTCAAGCTTGAAAAATGTCACCGGGTCCAACCAGGGTCCTGTGAAGAACCCTGGGGATCTTGGTGGCCTGGGGGGTGTGGGCTGGTGGCCTGCCCTGGTGGGTTCAACCCCAGAGGTAACTGAGGTGCCTGCTAAGGGTCTGGACAGGAAGTGGACTTAAAGTGGTGTTTTCACTCTGAGACCCTAGCTTTGTCTAAAGGAGGCCAGGGTCGTGTGCAGTGGCTCACACCTGTAGTCCCAGCACTTTGGGAGGCCAAGCAGGACCAGCCTGGGCAACATAGCAAGACCCCATCTCTACAAAAATAAAATTAGCTGGGCACAGTGGCATGCTCCTGTGGTCCCAGCAACTCGGGAGGCTGAGGCAGGAGGATCACTTAAACCCTGCAGGTTGAGGCTACAGTGAGCTGTGATGGCACCACTGCACTCCAGACTGGGTGACAGAACAAGACTGTCTTTGAAAAAAAAATTACAATAAATAAAGGAGGCCAGGCCACTGCAGCCCTGCCCCACCATGAACATCCGAGATCGCCTGACGTGTGGCATATGACTCTGTCGGAGGCCATGGGGAGCCACCCCACCCTTACTGCATCATATAAAGCTCAGAGCACAGACCCAGGCCCACACCTGTCTTTCTCATCAGGCAGTTTCAATGCCCAGTCTGTTGCTGCCAGGTATGGCAACAGATCCTCTGTGCCCACCCTGGCTTTTAAAACTAGGAAGGCGAAGGCCGGGTGCAGTGGCTCACGCCTGTAATCCCAGCACTTTGGGAGGCCGAGGTGGGTGGATCACTTAAGTCTAGGAGTTTGAGACCAGCCTATGCAACATGGCAAAACTGTCTCTACAAAAGTAAAAAAGAAAAAAAAAAAATTAGCCAGGCGTGGTGCATGCTTGTAGTCCCAGCTACTAGGGAGGCTGAGGTGGGAGGATCACTTGAGCCCAGGAGGCAGAGGCTACAGTGAGCTGAGATCACACCACAGCACTCCAGCCTGAGAAACAGCCAGACCCTGTCTCAAACACACACACACACATATAATGGATATAGGTGTGTGTCTCTGACTCTTCGTTGGCCTCTGGGCTGTGGTGTCCCCGGCCGGATCCCCACCTCTCATGTCTGCTTTGCCGCCCACAGATCCCGGAGTTGAAGCAGGACATCAGCATCCCCGACTACTGCAGCCTGGGCGATGGGGAGGAGGAGGAGATCACCATCAATGCCTGGTTTGGTCCCCAGGGAACCATCTCCCCCCTACATCAGGATCCCCAGCAGAACTTCCTAGTCCAGGTTGGAGCTGCTGCTGGAATAGTGGCCTCCTATCTCCTCCTGGCCCAGGCACCTGGCCGGCCACATTCTCTGCCTTTGAACACCGGGCTCTTAAAAAGAAACAAGAAGCACTGAAGGGGATGAGGACAAAAATAGAAAACAAACCCACAGACGGCGCCAGACCCGGCAAGGCCTCTGCAGTCGGCTGCTTCCAGAAGCGGCTGTCCTCCTGCGTGGGCCCCTCCCAAGATCCCTCACAGGGGAGCCCTCGGGAGAGGGAGCGAGTGCTGGCGCGGGTGCCTGGTGCCTCTGCCCCTCCCGCGCCTGCCACTCATCCCATCCAGACCAGCTTCTTCCAAACAGGAGGCAGCAGGGCGGGGGAGGAGTTTTCTCAGTCACTGGGAGGTTTTTTCCTGAGACCCAGGCAGAGGAGCAGATGGGTTTGCTACAAGGGGAGGCACCTCTGTCTACTGCTGTAAGACCACCTTGGTTTTCACAGGCAAAGAGAGGTTAGTAAAGGAGAACATTCTCCTACCCTGGCAGACCAGTCCAGAGAGGCGGCTCGGGAGTGGGCTAAGAGCCGGGCTTCGGGAGCCAGCCTGCCTGGCACGGACAGCAGCCCTGCCACACCTCAGCTCTGTGAGCTTGGGCAGCTCATTTAATCTCTCTGTGCCTCAGTTTCCTCACCTGCAAAATGGGAGTGAAGATAAACCACCTCAGAGAGGATTAAATCAGTTAACACACGTAAAGCACTTAAGTGGTGCCTGGCACAGACAAGTGCCTAATAATGGTGGGCTCCAAAATGTATTTGGAAGAAAAACATACCTTTAGGCCAAGTTTGGTGGTTCACACCTATAATCCCAGCACTTTGGGAGGCTGAGTCAGGAGGATCACTTGAGGCCAGGAGTTCAAGACCAGCCTGGGTAACGTAGTGAAACCCAATCTCTACCAAAAATAAAAATACAAAAATCAGCTGGGTGTGGTGGGGCACACCTGTAGTCCCAACTACTGGGGAGGCTGGGGCAGGAGGATCTCTGGAGGGAGGAGGTTGAGACTGCAGTGAGCCATGATCACACCACGGCACTCCAGCCTGGATGACTGAGACCCAGTCTCTAAAAATTAAAACAGCAAGAAAAACATACACGTGGAACTGTAAGCATGTGTGGAGGGGAAGGGCAGGCTGGGCCCAGGGAGCAGCGTGCGGAAGGGGACAGAGGCCAGGGTGGGCGTGGGGCAGCAGCGGAGTGAGGCCCCCAGCTGACGGTCAGGGTCTCTCTTCCCAGGTGATGGGGAGGAAGTACATCCGGCTGTATTCCCCGCAGGAGTCGGGGGCTCTGTACCCTCATGACACGCACCTTCTCCATAACACGAGCCAGGTGGGCACTGGGGGTCCGGGGTGACGTTGCAGGTTCTCCCCACTGCCCCGGAGATGACGACGTCCTTTGCTTTCTTCAGGTCGACGTGGAGAATCCTGACCTCGAGAAGTTCCCCGAGTTTGCCAAGGCCCCATTCCTGTCCTGCATCCTGTCTCCTGGAGAGATCCTGTTCATACCCGTGAAATACTGGCATTACGTGCGGGCTCTGGATTTGAGCTTCTCGGTCAGCTTCTGGTGGTCGTAGCCAGGCTAGGAGCTGAAAGGGCCGGACATGCAGACAGCACTCATCTGTTCACTGATTTCCTGCTCTGTGCCCTACCTGGTGCTGGGTCCTGGAATCAATAGAGACAAGCGGGACTGAACCTGTGTCCTGAAGAGCCTTCACTGCCCAGTGGCAGCCCTGGGAGGCTGAGCTTCAGCACTGGACGGGCACAGAGCGGGGGCTGCCCAGGAAGGAGCACACTCCAGGTCGGGGGTGCATGACAGGAAGGTGGGGAGAGCCCAGAAGGACCCTGCAGGCAGACAGCCTGCTTGGGGACGCCGGCATCAGAAAGCCTAACGTGTTTGGGAAACGGGTGGGTCACACGGGCAGGGGTGAAACGTGGGCTCTGAGGTTGTCTACTCGACTCAGACCCGGCCGCGCTGCGTACCTGCTGCGTGACTTGGCCAGGATCCCCCGCTTCGTTGTGCCCACGTGGAAAAGAGGGCAAGGCCAGTCCTCACTGCAGAGGGCCGAGGAGGCAGTGCCGAGCCCCTGCTGCTGCATGAACCTTAGCCGCTGCCACTGATCCCAATTACTCTGATCCTTCTGCCCTTCCTTCCCTTAACTGGGCCTGCTGGACGCCACAGCCTGAATACTGGAGAGAGCTGGGCATTGCCCAGGTCACAGGAGAGAGTCCATAGGGGCCTGCTCAGGCGCCCAGACCCCTGCTGGGCAGTGGGAGCTTTCTGTCATCGTCATGGCTAAAGGATAACCCACCTGCCTGCAGTGAAGTGCAAAGGTCTGGCTGGATGACTTTGCACCCGCACTCATCCAGGAGCAGGCTCCCAAGTGAAGAAACCACTGAACCATCACCAGCCCCTGGAAGCCTCCCTCTAGCCACCTTCTAGTCACCATCCCCCAGAAGTAATGACTGTCAAACCGGTGGAAGGTTTGAGGCCGGGGGGACACCCAGGCTCCGTGCTTTCCGTAGTTGTGTCTTGTGTGCACGCAGGTTTGTTTTATGTTTCGGCCATTAAGACTTTCCCCAGCCCTCTGTGTTTTGTTTTTTAAACTAAATAGAGATGGGATCTTGCTGTGTTGCCCAGGCTGGTCTTGAACTCCTGGGCTTAAGCGATCCTCTCACCTTGGCCTACCAAAGTGCTGGGGTTACAGGTATGAGCCACCATGCCAGCCTTGGCTTCTTTCTTCCCCCCTTCCAAGACAGGCCTGGGGAAAAGAGCCCCGGGGGTTCAGCTGCCATCCTGCCAGCACCTTGACCACTGGCTCAGCTGCTTGGCTTCTAGCTAAAAATCAAGCCGTCTCTGGTTGGCCAGGGGGTAGCTACCCTGGGGTAACTAGAAGGGGGATGGGAAGGTGGCCACGGGCAGCTGGGACTCTAGTTCCTGATGCCCTCTGTACCCAGGCCAAGGAATTTGACCTTTATTGGGTAGGTCCTGGGGTTCTCGGCCTTTGAGCAGACACCAGCAACATCTGCACTCTCGAAAGCTGGCTGTTGGCAGGGAGAGGCCGTGGCACTTACTCATCCTGGGAGTGGGCTGCTGAGCGGCCGTGCGTGTGCCAGGGACTGACACACACAACAGCTATCTGGAAGTGGAGTCCACTTGGCTCCGTGGGCAGCTGCTTGCAAGGACATTGTTTATTCCCTGCCGTTGTTAATAGTCAATTACCTAATCTTTCATAGGAAGAATTTACACTAGATGTCAACACCCCTGAAAGTAGGGAGGCATAAAACAGGGACGCCCCATGACTAGGTTCACCATTAGTGAGGAGCGGTGGCTCCTGGCCCGCATGTGTAACTCATACCCCTTCCCCAGCGGAAGGACAGGCGGGTTGTGGCCTCAGCTCCCAGTGGCCCAGCCGCTCCATCCGCTCCGGCTGGCAGGCCCCATGGCCCATCTGTAGCGTAGTGTGACAGAAAGCTGGGCATGGGAGGCCACGTTCATTAACGTATGGTATCCTGGCCAGGAGGCTTCCAGCAAATGTCCCTTGTCAGATGAGGAACGGGAAAAGGGGAAATGGCCCTGCCCTGTGGGTGAGGTTCCAGCGTTCCTAGGAATCCCAGTCTGAGGGTGACTTCAGCCCTCTGAGGAAGGTGGACTCTGAAGCCAGCTTGGAACCCAAGCGCCGAACAGTTGGTCACAGACCAAGGAGAGGCACGTGCACGAGCCCCTGCCTGAGATGTGGCCACAGCAGTCAGGACACTGATACTGCCATCACAGACACAGGACACAGCTAGCAGGCCTGTCACTGACCAGATGAGGCCCCTGCCCTCATGGTATTTTAACATAATGGCATCAGGCTGGGGTGCGGGGGGGGCAATAAGGACATGGGAATACAAGAAGACAGTGTCACGCCGTGATTAGTGCCATGAAAGCAACAGAGCAGGGTGACAGGGTGGAAAATGGCAGCCAGGGATGGACTGGTGGGGCCAGAGTTTTTTGATAGTTGACATTTGAAGAGCAAGAGCTTGACTGGGAATCCAGAATCGGCCATGAGACTTGAGGCCCAGCTGGTGACAGCAGGTACAGCAGCCCTGAGACAGGAAAGTCCCAGTCTGGGGACAGGGGAGGTAGGAGTCAAGGCGGCTGGGGCAGAGAGGGGAGATGGTAGGAAGGGGGATATCAAGGCCATGGGGCCTGGGGGACCAGCAGGGGAAGGCACTGGGGGGCTCAGCCTGGGAGGGACAGGTCTGCAGCTGCTGTGCAGACAAGGGCCTACAAGGGGACCCTGGGAAGCAGGCCAGTCCGTAATTCCTGAGTGATAAGGTCGGGGCACCGGCGGGGAAGCATGGCAGTGAAAGAGAAGGTTGGCGGGGTAATAAAGGCTTTGAATGCCAGGCCAGTGTGTGGAACTCACAAGGGTTTTGGGTGAGTGCCAGTGTGTTGTGGGATGTTCACATCAGTGTCGTCATGGAGGTGTTGGAGGCAGGAGAGAGGAGCAGCAGGGGGGGCCGGTGTCCCCAATGGTGAAGTGCCCAGAGGCTTCCTGAGTCCCCAGCCAGGACTGACTCGAGCACAAAGAATGAATGACCAGAACCATGGGACAACTGGGTCAGTCATGAGCTGCCCTGGCCCCTCCTGAAGGTGGTATTTGCTGGTTGGCTTTTTGCCTCCTGGCGTCCATCTTCCCTTCTTCCAGAACGGCACACTGATTGCACTCTGGAGAATGATCTCTGCCCCAGGGACGCGGTCCTGGAAGGTCTGTACAGCTTCTCCCTGGACTGGCATCTTGAGGGCACATCAGGGGGAGCGTAGACAGGCTGGAGCTGACCCCCTGTGGCAGCAGCACCCACTGTCACAGAATTGTCTTGACATCCATGACCCTTATTCCAAGGTCTGCCATTCTAGACTGCTCTTGCCTTCCTGTCCTTTCTGCAAGCCACCTCATACGCTTCCAAAAAACCCCTGTTCTGGTGAGGCCAGCTGGGGCTGGCACTGGCTGAACACACTGGGCCTACCAATGGGCATGTCTGTGCCCACTGACGAAGGGCTGGGCTGGGTCCCCGGCTGCCTCACTGATGGGAAGGTGGGCTTGAGGGCTCAGGAGCCCAGACTTGGTTCTGGGAGGGTGAGCCTCCCACCAGCAGGGGTCATTGGTTCACTGAGCCTCAGATACCTGCTCTACCCTGGGTTTATGGAGGTGAACAAAGGGGGATGTTCCTGCCTGCAGCGGGGGAGTCAGCCACCAATTCAGTGTCCAGGTTCACTGCCCGCTGCCTCTGAGGCTATTGAAGATGCAATCACACCTTCAATTTGCTTAGGGAAAGGCCCCTGCTCCCTCAGCCACGTGGCCTGAGAGGGACGGCCCCACCCCTGTCTTCGGGGTGGGTGTGATTTTCCAATGCCAGTCGGATCATCCTGTCCCCACCTCGCAGGTGTCCACGTGGGAGCTATGGGCCATGAGGATGCTTGCAAGGGTGTGGGAGCCACCAAGTGAGAGCCACCCTCTTCCTCCCGATCCCGGGCATGATGTGTGAGGCCCAGAGCGTGGCAGCTATTTCGCTACCATGAAGAAAGCTGGATTTCTGGGAAACCACCTCGTAGGCCCCAAGCATGCAGCCAGCCCAGTGAACGCGCAGTAGACACAGAAATATGGCTGTGTGGTGACCTCGCTGGAGCCCCTAGACCAGGCCTCTCAAGTCCCCTGTGGCCAAGTCCTTCCTTGTTTCAGCCAGTCTGAGTTGGCTTTTCTGTCATGACTGAAGCATCCTGACTGATGCTGGGGTTCAAGAGACGCATGAAGATGGGGACTTAACAAGTGTGAGGAGGGAGGAAGCGCAGGGAGCGAGGGGCTGACCAGTGCCAAAGGGCGACCGGGTGCTAGCCAGGAAACAAAGCCGGACACCAGAGGGGAGGGTGCGCAGGCCCAGGGCGCTCTGTGCAGAGGCTCCCGAGCTGACGAAGGAAGCACTGCACCCTGAGCAGTGGGTGGGGGGAGGTGGTGACAGACGAGCAGGGGCCTCACCAGGGGCCACAGCCCTGCTGCAGCAGTGGGGGCGTCCAGGGGTCTTCCACAGGGAGCGTGGAGGCAGGGTGTGGGCCGGGGCTGGCGCTCAGCCTGAGGCAGCAGCGGCAGGGCCAGAGGGCTACTGGCAGCTGGGCTGGACAGGATCTGGTGACAGTGGGATGCAGGAGGGTCAGGGAGAGGAAGCATTGAGGCTGACTCCCGGTCCCGGCTGGGGCTGCTGGATGGCAGGGCTGCCGGGCACCCACAGGGAGCAGAGGGTCCAGGGAGGGAGAGCACGTGTCCCGCCCAAACGCCCAGCCTCAGCCCATTCAGGCCAGTGGCACCTTGGGCCAGGGGAGAGTCCAGACTGGGCAGTTGGGGAGGCCAAGGTTCACACATCCAGGCGTGGGCCAGCCCAATCCTGCTGGGACAGCTGGTCACAGCTGGGACTGGAGGCAAGGCTGCCCTGGGCAAGGACAGTGAGCTGTCCTGAGCCATTGCTGGGGGCTCTGCTGGTTTCATCCGCTGGAGCGCAAACCCAGGGGTTCTGAGTGATGACCGAACTCTAGGAAAGAAGGCAAGGCCACGACACAGAGCCTCACACACAGGCTCGAGAACACAGACAGGGGCTGCAGCAACTTCCAGGACAGTTTATTCCAAAGCTGTGGACAGTCCACATTAAGAAGAAAGAGGTGACTCGCATGGAACCTGAAACACGGACGCCTCTCTTCCAAGAAGGGCTGCGGCGATCAGGCCACCCAAGGCAGCCAGTCCCTCAGCAGAGCACGACGGCTAATGCTGCCTGGACCGCAGGGACTTTTTGTTCGATTTTGAGATACCAGACTCCCTCTCCTTCTCAGGGTCGAAGACTTCTGTAGAGAGAAAAGGCAGGAAAGACAGTGAACGGAGGGGCTGGCAGCACAGGAGCACCAGCTCGAGCCAGCAGCCAAGGACTCTGTCCTAGGTCTACACCATTCTTCACTGCCAACCCTCCCCAGCCCGTGAGGCAGAGTTAGCCCCAATTCAGAGAGGAACAAACTGAGGGAGCTGTGGACATGGCTGTCACATTCCCCTCCTGAGAGGGCTGCCAGAGAGGGAGCCTTGTCTAGACAAAATGCTCATAAGCGTTGGAATTTCTGCTGGGTTCTAGAAAGTCCTCTGGAACGGTGCACGCAGCTCAGCCTTTACTTCCTGCGGTGGCTGCTTCTAGGATTCAGGCTGCTAATGCGGACCCCCACACACCCTGGAGCCTTTCAGGGCCCTGCCTCCAAGGGCTTCCCCAGCACCAGGCCCTGCATCCTGCTGGCCCAGCCCTTCCCATGAGCACCTCAGGGCCCACGCACCTGGGATCTCGTGGGGCCAGTAGTCGTTGCAGTGGGGGCAGTGCGGTTCGGCGTTTGACTGGAAGTACTTGGCCACGCAGGGTAAGTGCATCCTGATCCCACAGGTTTCGCAGCTTTGACCCTGAAACAAGAAAGGCCAATGACGGCAGAGCTGGTGCACACCTCTGTGTTCTGCAAACCTCCGGGGAAGCCACAAGGAAAATGGGCAGCTGGTGGCATCCGGTTATCTTCCAGTCCCCAGATTAATACTGAAAATCCCAAACGCCTTAGTGCAGGGGAGTCTTTTGTTTGTTTGCTTGTTTGTTGCAGTGGGTTTTACTAAACAATTCTGAACACATGAACGCAGTGACAGAAGCCGAGGGCTGGCAAGCTCCCGCACTCAGATCCTGCAGGTGGCGTGTGGACAGCCACAGCTTTTCAGAAGCTTATTTGCTGATGTGGATCAAAAGCTTTCGAAAAAAAACTGCACTTTGTCCCAGAAACCCCGCCCAAGGAAATAATCACCATGTGCCCAAGGATACAGGTGTACGAGGCCCATGAGAGCAATTGCAATTACAAACAGCTACAGCTGCAAAACGACAGAAACTGAAAGACACATCAGTGTCCACGCTGGTTCAGTGGCTGCAAAGCCCTGCAAACTGGAGGAGACCACTCCGGAAAGCAGCAATTGATAGAGACACTCTGCCAAATACTCTGCCGCAAAACTGCCAAGATAATGCAGGTTGCACAGAACACTCAACCTTCCTGAGAAAAATAAAGTAAGCGAGAGCCCTTGGACCCCAGCAGCAGAACCAGGGAAGAGAGAGGCAGTGCGTCCCTGCAGGCCACCGTGGGGAGGCGTCCTCTGACACGTCCTGGGAGATGGCCTCCAGGAGCTCTTGTGGGAGGAGGCGCCGGCAGTGCAGGAGGGCTGGGTCCAGAGCCAGGATTCGGGAAGTACCTGTGCAGAGCCCCAGGAGCTGAGGGCCCAGCAGTGAGCTCCCATGCCCTGCCCAGCGGGTACCTGGATGAGGAGGCTGTGACAGATATTACAGATCTTCACCGCGTCGGGGTACGTCTCCCGGATGTATTGCTCCATTTCCAGGATGGCCCGGCCATGCAGGGTGAACTCCCCTTCCTTCTGCAGGGACACACGGGAGGTGGCCACCCTCAGCCAGGCCCTCTCCCCATTCACTACCTCTGTTCCCTCTGTGATCTCACAGCCCAGTGCTCAGGAAGACACAAGGGTCTAGGCACCTTTACACCAACCCCAGACAACGGGCATCAGCCACGTCCCCCTAGCAGAGCCTCAGCAAGGGAAACTGAGGCAAAGGCCCAAAAGGCATGGAGGCACAGCTCCCCGACACCCCCCTTTTCTCAGCACCTGTTGTGCCTTCAGACGTGACTGCTCTGTCTGCACAGCAGCCCCGAGCGAGGCAGTCACAGCCCTCCTGCAGATGAGGACGCTGAGGCCCACAAGGGGTCAGTCTCCCCAGGGCACAAACCCGAGCACCCACTGCTTCCATCCGCCACCCATCCCACTCCCAAAAAGCAGCATCCCCGGTGCCTCCCAGCACTTCTGCCTCCAACTGCAGTAGGGACCCTCAGAGATCATTTCCGGCCACATCACTTTATAGACGGAGCTGGAAGGAGTCTGGAGAGGGCAGACGAGCCCCATCACACCATGGGCAGTGGAGCCTCCAACGGAAGCCAGGCCTCCTGGTTCCCACGCCAGGGTGCGGTCACCCATCATGCATCCTGAACACCCTGGGAGAACCAGGAAGCCCATGAATAACACAGGTCCCCAGGCTGACCCTCCTGCCAGGTCACAGGAGAGAGGCAGCACTGAGGGAGACCCAAGGGAGGCAAATGACACGGACCCAGGACACGGACCCATGCAGGCTGATTCCAGTTTCTCCACAGTCAGCTCATGCATCGGACGTGAACCGCGCCAGGAGATGGCGTCACTGAAGCCTGCGAGTCACTCAAGTGCTCAGCTGCCTTTCCTGTTATTTTCTAATTTTTACAAGCAAGAGCTGTCACTCCCGTTTTTGTTTTTTGGTTTTTTCGTTTTTTTTTTTTGAGATGGAGTTTTGCTCTTGTTGCCCAGGGTGGAGTGCAATGGCATGATCTTGGCTCAGTGCAACTTCTGTGTTCTGGGTTCAAGCAATTCTTCTGCCTCAGCCTCCAGAGTAGCTGGGATTACAGGTGTGTGCCACCACCGGCTAATTTTGTATTTTTAGTAGAGATGGGGTTTTGCCATGTTGGCCAGGCTGGTCTTGAACTCCCGACCTCAGGTGATCCACCCACCTTGGTCTTCCAAAGTGCTGGGATTGCAGGCGTGAGCCACCGTACCCGGCCCACTCCTGTTTCTGACAGGTAGAGCCTCCCCATCCCGTTCCTGCCTCTATCCCCAGAGTGCAGTGTGGAGGGGGTGTGCTTGCATAACCTGCGCTTGCAGTGCATTCACTCTGGAACACCAGTAGAGGGGCTGGGTGAGCACAGGAAGGGAGGCAGGGTAGAGGCATGGGGTTGGGGCAGGGACAGCCGCTGCGGGAGCAGTGGAGGGAGGCCAGGGTACCAGGTGCTTATGCCCTGCACCGCGGCTGTTGGTGCACAGGGGCTTTGTGTTCTCCAAGTGCTGTGGGCAATGGGAGGATGTGACCAGCCCTCAGGCCGTCCTCAGTCCTCGGTCCTCGGTCCTATGGCTGTTACCTTCCCCAAAACTCCCAAATCCATCACGGCACCCCACCTCCCTGGCTACCACCCACTTCCACCCTCCCCTCCAGATCCATCACGGCACCTCACATCCCTGGTCACTGCTGCCTTCCACCCTCCTCCACATCCATCACGGCACCCCATCTCCCCAGCCTCCACCGTCTTCCACCCTCCCCTGTTCCTGCAGCTCTCTGAGCCCACTCTCCTCCAGCAATGTGCTTGCTACAAAACAAGCCTGGCTCTGTCACTCCCACCTCACCCCCGCCCGAGGGCTTCCCACCACCCTTAGGTCCAAGAGCCAAGCCCCTAATGCATGTATCTCCCGGGTTGCCCTCGTCTGCTCTCCCCAGCAATCTTTGTGCTCAGATGGCCCTGGCCTTAGCTTCTTGAGCACACTCACTGGCCATAGGGCCATTGCTGGGCTGATGGTCCTCCCACCCCAGGCTCCAGGCAACTCCCACACAGCCTTCAGCTTCAGTGTCACTTACTCAGCAGCTGAGGGCCAGCTCCTCTGGGACAGCTGTCATAAAGCCATGTTTCCTTTCCATCTGTTCCTGGACTGCAGTGGGATGACCGTCTCACTGCTCTTGGGCTCTCCCTCCAGACCATGGCCCCGTGGGAGTGGCCACCAGCTCTGGTTTCGCTCACTCCAGTGTCCGCAGCACCTGCTGTGGGGCCCAGAACTTGGCAGGCCCACAGGAAGATGAAGTAGACATTGCGCTGATCCCAGAGGAGTGCCTCACACTGTGAGCAAGTTCAAGCTTAGACTGAGGCAGGAGGTGCATTTATTTATTTATTTATTTATTTTTTAATTTACTTATTTTTGAGACAGTTTCACTCTTGTTGCCCAGGCTGGAGTGCAATGGCACAATCTCAGCTCACTGCAACCTTTGCCTCCAGGGTTCAAGTGATTCTACTGCCTCAGCCTCCCGAGTAGCTGGGATTACAGGTGCCCGCCACCACACCCAGCTAATTTTTTATATTTTTAGTAGAGACAGGGTTTCACCATGTCGGCCAGGCTGGTCTCAAACTCCTGACTTCAAGTGATCTACCTGCCTCAGCCTCCCAAAGTGCTACAATTACAGGTGTGAGCCACTGTGCCCAGCCAAGCTGCATTTACTGAACACCTACTATGCACCTGAAACTGCACCCAAGGCTCACCATTCATGACCCAGTCAGTCCTCTGCGGGCCTATCAGGGGAGGGGTAGGAGGGGTGCCCTAGCCCTCAGAGAAGACGAGAGCCCAGGCAATCTCCCAGGCACCTCGCCACGACACTTGGAAGTCAGGACCTCTTGTAGGGAGCAGTCCTGGGGTGTATGGAGGTGCGTCCATCAGCAGACGTCCAGCTCCCATGAGCCGCGCTTGCTCTCAGAGGCCTCTCTGCTGACCCCAACCACCCACCACCCCGGGCCTTCTCCTGGACCGGCAGCTGCCTCAGCACCTCCATGCTGAGCCAGTCCCGCACAGGACTGGCTGTCCAGGAGTGACTTGTCCTTGGGGTGATATGCCCACCTGGAAGGGCCTTGGCAGTGGACCCCTGGCTGTTTCTGTGGGAAGCCCTGTGTCTGAGAGGCCAAGGATCAGACGCTGACGTGTGGTCTCTCTGATCGAGGTGCTGCCCTAGGAAGACCTGTCCTGGGTACATGAGCACCCCACCCCTGTCCTCAGCGGTTCCTCCAGAGTGCCGCAGACCTCAGGGCAACCCTTACCAGGCCGTGTAGGTCAGAGAGCACTGGACCCTCACAGAAACCTGGAGCTGGCAGTGTCTCCATCCTGCAGATGAGGAAACAGTCTCTGCAACAAGAAGCTGCTTGCCACAGGCGGCAGAGGAACCTGGAGGAGTCTCACTACGCAGCCCTTGCCACATGAGCTTTGTTCCTTCGTCCTCCTCAGGGCTCCAGCAGGCCAGGCAGTCAACAAGAAGCCTCTCCAGGGCGGCTGCCCAGCACCAGTGCCGAGGGCCCCCTGCTACTTCTGCAGCGCTCCTGCAGGTGGCAGCTCCCGGATCCTCTGTCCACCCTCCCTCGAGCTCAGAGGCGCCCTGCAGAAGGCGGTGCCACCACTGTCACCGAACTGAGAAAGGCACAGAGTACAAGCGCCTGCAGCCACAGCTCACCCCCACAGACTCCAGGGCGGTGCCTCTCCTATCCACCACAGCCCTCTCCAGACACCAAGGGCAGACAAAGGGCAAGTCAAATCATAAAGCTGGGGGCACGCCCTGCAAGCCATGCACAATGGTGGTGGCGTGTGCTAGGCACGCGTGCTCTTGGGTGCAAAGCAGGCTGCAAAGTGTTGTGAAATGGAATGTTGGGGCACTTGGCTCTAGGGGCTGGGATAACAGGTGACTTCAGTGGGTTTCTTTATGCATCTTGACATGTTCTAATCCTCCTATAATGAACAGGTATTTCCTGTCACATTTTTTGTAAGTTTTAAACTCTGTTCCTCTGTAACCTCATCCACCCGTTCAGTCATCCAATCAGCAAGCATTTATTGAGCGCCTGAGGTGCCAGGCACTAGGTTCTGCAATGGGAATCAGCCATGAAGAGGTCATAACCCCTGCCCTTAAGAAACTTGGCCCATGGCTGGGCACAGTGGCTCACACCTGTAATCCCAGCACTTTGGGAGGCCGAGATAGGCAGATCACCTGAGGTCAGGAGTTCGAGACTAGCCTTGTCAATATGGAGAAACCCCACCTCTATTAAAAATACAAAAATTAGCCAGGCATGGTGGCACATGCTTGTAATCCCAGCTATTTGGGAGGCTGAGGCAGGAAAATCACTTGAAGCAGGAGGTGGAGGTTGCAGTGAGCTGAGATTGTACCATTGCACTCCAGCCTGGGCAACAAGAGCGAAACTCCATCTCAAAAAAAAAGAAAAAAACTTGGCCCTAAGAGGGGCTGCACCACAAGCGAGAATGGTCAGTTATAACCTCAGCAGACCCTAGAACATTGTCTAGTACCAAATACAGCCCGGAGGGCAAGAAAAACTGTGACAAAGCCATTGATGGGAGCTGCAGTCCCCAAACTGGGGCCTGAACTCGGCCCTGCCACTCTCAGGGTGTCCGATGTCATCCAGACCCCTGAGCTGTCAGCTAAAAACTAAGCTATGGAGCCACTGCAGGACAGCAGGCAGCCTCCGAGACAGGACATACGGGAATGTGCCCAGCAGATCCTGCACTCACCAGGAGCTCCCAGCCCTGACCTCACCCCTGTGACCTCTGCCCTCACCCCGTGACCTCTCCACCCTTTCTTCCCATCAGGTACCCCAGGAACTGAATTTGGGTCAGGTTCCTGGTACAGGCCCACCCTACACAGAAATTAGTAACTCAGAACACAGACTTCCCCAATCCGGAGGCAAGCCTTCCTGAAAAGGAAGTGGAGAATCGCTGCGGCCACAAGCAGCAGCCTCTGGCCACAAGTCCGACCACCAAGTGAGGAAGCGGGAACCCGACGTGAGCGCGTCCTCAACACACACGGGTACGAGCACCTGGGAGGGCACAGCTATGGTCAACTCAGCAAACACTACGCTGTTGAAAACAGGGGTGCCTTTTGTGGAAAAAGAACTGAAACATTTGTTCTCCTCCATTCAGCAGGACTAGACGTGGGGGAGGGGCAGCATCTAGAAACTGGAGCTGCAGTGGGGCCTGTCCCAGACGTCACAGCTCCTTTCCTAAAGCTTGTTTGTGCCTCTTCTAAGCACTAACCCTGAGGAACTCACTGCTGACAAAAACAACAGTGGTAACGTCGCCAATTCCTCTGCTGCCTCCCCCACGAGCCAGCCAGCGCAGCACGGAGCACGTTACTGTGAGGTCCCATTCCTGCTCCTGACACACCCAGCCCCAAAGGGGAAACGACAACTTCCCTCTTACAGGGAACCTGAGGTCACCTGGCTCAGGGTTCAGACCCGGGTCAGACATCACAGCTACACTCTCAGCCACGGAACTGCTCTGCCTTGCAGTCTGTGGGCTAGAGGCTTGGTCCCGGGGCCCAAATCCCAGGTGCAGCTCCTGGCTCTGCCATTCTGGCTGTGGCATCCTCAACACATCATGTGGGTGAACAGGGAGTGGGAGGCAGGAGAGGTGAGGCCCAGATCCTCCCCACGGGGTCACTGCTGGAATGCGTGAAAGCAGATAAGGGATCTGAGAAGGCTGGGCTCCACAGACATCAGTTGGCTAGAAATACGATTTTGGAGACAAAACTGCTATTCACTCGAAAGAGTGAGCCGGACTGGAAAACCATGAGACCGTACCTCAATTAGCCACTTGTTTTGGACAAACTTCTGCAGCACCTGCTCCGCTTCCTTCTTCCTCATCTTCTTGCCTTTAAGTTGATCAACCAGGTTCAAAATGTTTGTGGAAGACGCAAAGCCAGTTTCTGAGTCAATAATTAGTTCCAGCTGGAAGAAAGAGCAGGTACCATGCTTCTCTATTAAAATGGCAGAAATAACTTTTAAATGGTAATACTAAGTCTGGCAGGGGTGCAGTAAGACCACTCAGATCACAGGCAGAACTGCACACTGGCATGGTATTCGGGGAAAACAATGTAATATGCATCAAGAGTCAGGACTGTGCTCAGTTCTTTTGACTCAGAGGTCACTTCGATAACATCCTCCCAAATAAATCATCTTAATGTCCCCAAATCAATAAGGGTCACCTTGCCTCACGGCTGGCCTCAGAGGCAGCGAGAGACAGACACGGCAGGCAGGAACCTCTGGAGAAGACAGGTTCCTGCACACGCAGATGTGTGCTCAGCTCAGCACCTGCTCCTCAACCCTGGCAGCTAATAAACCCCAGGAGAAGACCTCAAAGGAATGATTCCAACACCTGGTTCTCAGAGATTCGGATTCGACAGATCGCAAGTGGGGCTGAAATGTCTGAATTCTTTCTCACCTCTGCAGTTATGTAGGCCTGAGAACTACTCTTAGCCATATGTTTGACCAGAGGGCCGAGCAAGTAGCTCTGAAGCCTGGTAGAGCAATGCCGCTCAAATGTGCACATGCAAATGATTCAGTGGGCACCTGGCAAAAATGCAGATTCGGACTCAGCAGTCTAGGGTAGGGGCTGGGACTGGGCCTTTCTAACAAGCTCCCAGGTGATGCTGCTGCTGCTGCTGCTGCCTTTCCCAGATGGCACTTACAGCAGCCAGGTAGGAACGCCTGTTACTACCAGTGAGGCCCTGCTCTTGCCCATCCAGCTGGGGCTCACACCTGGCCCAGCACTTCCTTCCCAGGCAGCCATGGGGGCCCCTGACAGCTGTGAATTCCAGATGGGTAGACAGTGATATCTCCCTGCAAAGCCTTTTCTCAGACAGCAGTGGTGGCCCACGTCCCCCCAGTGATCCTTGAAGACTGCAGTTGCCACTTCTAACGACTGAGACAGAACTTTCCCATAAGAAGCCCAGCCAATGGGCGACGGGGATTACTCTACTTACAGCCTTTCTAAACAGATCCAGTTCATTCTCTGCAAAATCCGTAGCCATTTTGGAAATTGAAGTTGTAGCAAGATTCACCTAAGAAATAAGTCAGCGCAACAGTCAGGCTGTGCCCTTCGCATGTTGGTTAACGTGTCGCTGGCTCTCCCTCCCTCCCCTCCTCCGTCTCTGGCCAGTCACTGAGCTCCTGTATCCAGGCACTGCGAGCCGCAGGATGGATCTGTAACCAGGCATATACTACAGACTTTATTCTTTAGCTCAGTCAACATGCTGGACCCTCAGAAGTTTCAGAACTCCAGAGGGTGTGCAGTATTTTCCAAACTCAGATAAATTTGGGAGATTTGTCTACATGTTAATGGAGCTTCAAATGCAAAAGGCACTGAGAAGTCCGATAGCAAGGAAATCTGTTTTGCCGTGTCTGACCAGCATTTCCACAGTTCTTTGCCTGTGTAATGTTTTTCCAGGGAACTGAGTTTGGGAAACCCTGGACTAGAGTGCTCCTTTCTGAGTGTGAGCCTGGCTGGGAGCAGCCAGATGTCCTCTGACCAGCCCGAGGTGTCTCCTAGCCAGGGATGGGGCATGTCAGCTTCCCACTCCTGTGTTTCACCCTGATCCCTACCTGTGAGAGTAAATCTGAAAACCACGGAAGACCCCACGTGGGTCGCAATCCTTGACACTCCTACACACTGTTTCTTTTCATCGCTTCTATGTCTTATTCTAAGTAAAAAACCATTTCTCCCTTTATTCCTAATATTCCATACATTTGGAGTGACTTCTTTACAAAGAACTGTCCAAAAGAGAAATCAAACCAAAGCAAACACGGGCTGCCTGGGCCCTGTTCCAGCTCCTCAAAAACGCCACTAGAGGGCTCTGTCGGGCACTCACCAACGCATAAATGGGTCTCCCGTCATCTTCCGTGACTCCTCTCTTTATCTCAATATACAAGGACTCCAAGACACTGTTAATGTTGTTGATGAAGTCCTCCAACTTATCTACAGTGGCATTGCCTGGAAATAAACAGACCAAAAAAGGGGGGTGACGGGGGGCCTCATCAAAAAAACGTAGCTTGCTTGAATCATTCCATCCCATCTCAACACAGGGGACAGCAACCCCAGACACAGGCGGAGGCTGCAGCCTCTTGGGTGAATGCCAGTGCCGCGTGGCTTCTTTCTTCCTGGAGTACTTGGAAGACAAACAGACAACAGATGGAGGGCGTTGTGAGGCAGGAGGGCCGGGGAGATGCTATCTGCAACCACGGAGGCTGCCGCGGGCTTCCTGTCTTTGCTTGCTGCCTCCCAATGAGTCTGGATCAGCACCTTCAGCGTATCACTCAATGACATGCTCAGAGCGTGCACTAAGCTCCCGCTGCACGCACATCCCATCCCATCTCAGCCCTTCTACCTCGTCCCCAGTGCCCCGCGAGAGGCCTCTGTCCCTCTGCGTCCCCACACGTCTTAGGTGGAGCTTTATTCCTTTCTTTTTTTATTCAGTATCCACTTATCCTCACTTACATGCCAGGCTTGTGCTGGGTCCTGGGCTGGAACAGTAAGAATAACAACCACCGGGGTGAGAAGGGCGGCTTGCAGCAAGCCCTCAGCATGGAGAGGCCCTGTCCCGGGCACCTTTTGTCATCATGAATCCACCCTCCAGCAGCTCTCTGGGCACAGGGAAAGAGGCTGAGACGCAGAGAGGTGAGCTGACTCACCCAGAGTTGTACCACAAGGCCGGGGCTTTGACCTCTCTGTCACCCACCTCCCCTGGCCCTGCCAGCAGGACGTTCACAGCCCAGGGGCCACCATCCAGGTCCATCAGTCTGAGGAGGGGGCACCCACAGTATGGCCGGGGGCTCAGCTGAATGGACACTGATCAGCCAGGGAAGGAAGGAGGGCAGAAAGGCTGCGGCGGGGAAGGGAGCCAGATCACACAGGGCCTGTGGCCGGGGCCAGCAGGGCCTTTCTCCTGCGGCACCAGGAAGCCTCTGAGCACTGGAAGCAGTGGAAGGACATGTCCAGTGCTGTGTACCTTTCATGCTGTGAGACAGTCATGTCTTTTGAGACAGTCTCACTCTCGCCCAGGCCGGAGTGCAGTAGTGCAATCTTGGCTCACTGCAACCTCCACCTCCGGGTTCAAGCAATTCACCTGCCTTAGCCTCCCGAGGAGTTGAGATTACAGGCGCCCATCACCACGCTCAGCTAGTTTTTGTATTTTCAGTAGAGATAGGGTTTTACCATGTTGGCCAGGCTGGTCTCGAGCTCCTGACCTCAGGTGATCCGCCCACCTCGGCCTCCCAAAATGCTGGGATTACAGGAATGAGCTTGTGCTGCGAAACTTTTTAAAGCAAGAGTATGTAGTATTGTTTTCACTGTTTTTATGTATTAAAATAAATAATTTCAAAAGATTCATGCCTTAGAAAATCATTTTGGAAAAAAAAACTGCAAGAAAAAACAGACAATCTGATACATTTCGTGTGAAACAAAAACAGAACCAATGAAACGGTCCCACAGGAAAAGGCCCAGCAGGTTGCCCACTGGACTTACGACCAAGGTCATTGCCAGGAAGGGACTAAACGGGGGTCATCACAGCGCTCTCACGCTGTGTGTCTATGTTTGATTTCTTATAGACAGAGGCATTTCTAAGCTACCCATACAACTCAAGATCCAGAAAGTTAAAAAAAAAAAAACAGAAGATCACGCTGGTGAAAATGGAGGACATGGCCGTGTGAAAGAGCCAAGGACAACCCAGGCCAGTGAACTCTATCAGAGGATCAGACTGTGGGCGCCCAGAAAAGCCGAGAACAAAGCCCAGGGCAGTGACACTAACGCGCCACGCTCAGCGACGAGCTAACCTTCCATTTAAGTGAAGTTTTTAAAAGGCAGTTTAAATTAAAAAGTGGTCATAATAAGTGGGTGGAACATGGACATGGTGCAATCGTAACATGAGACAATGGCATCTGGCCTCGGTGGCTGGAGAGCAGGCATCAGGACTGAGAGGCATGGCCTGACTTCCTGCCTCCACGCCTCTGCTCACGGGTCCCTCCTTTCTGAAAAGCTCTCCCTCCACTGCTGCAGCCGCCTCGGATGGCCTGTTTCTCCAGGAAATGTTCTCTTCTGCCCCCGGTGCTGTCTTCCTCTTCCACACCACGCAAGGCAGCTCTTCGCTGGCGTGGGAGCCAAGCTGTTCCGTACCTGCCTGTGCCGGTGACTTGGGCAGACACGCTTTTCCACCCCGAAGGGCAGCCAGTGCTGGGTAGCTCAGACACAAGGGGCCCAGACACCAAAAAGCCTTGCTCAGTGCAGAGTGAGTGACAGGAGCCCTGTCCACCCAGTGTGACACCGGGGCAAGTCCCACCTCCCTCTGAAAGTGACAACTCAAATTTTCCACTAACGAGGCCCCTCCTGGGTGTCACTGAGAACAATGTGCCCTGTGGGCAGATGAGAGGCATTCTGATCTACTGGACTTTCCAGACACCCCATTGGGGGGAGGCAGCCAGCAGCCCTCTCTGCCCTTCCCCTCTCCCCACTGCCTCTGGTTTGGCGTCCGGCCTCATTTTTCAGAAACCATGAATGTTTTGCTGTATTTTTATCTGACCAACCACTTCCTCCTACTGTACTCGCTCACTGCAGACACCAGCCACCGCCTGGGCGCTCCCATTCTCTCCGCTATCGCCCTCTCCTTCCTTCCACACGCTTCCTGCATCAGGGTCGTGTCCACGATCTCCATCGCTGACCCTGTAACTGTTTCTCACGGAGGCCCCACGCCCTTGCAGCGCCTCTTAATTGTGACCTGAGAAGAAACTTCTCTTACGCTCAGCAAACCCCTCAACTGACTCCTTTTGGCAGCAACAGAGGCGGTGTGGTGCCATGGGACTGGCAGCAGAGGTGTGGGCTCCAGCCCATCCTGCCCTCTCGCTCTGTGGGGCCCTGTGTGAGCCTCTCCCCGACTTCTCATCTCTAACAGCCACACACGGTCTCACCTCCAGCCTCACACATGTCCAGAACCCTCTTCCCTCCCGCCTCTCCACCACCACCCCTGGCTGGACCCCAGCCTCCTGGTCCTCTGGCAGCCTCCTGTACAGGCCTTCCCCAACCAGATGAGCTGCACTTCCCAGCTCTGTCCTCCCACGGCTCCAGCACTTCCTTCCTCATCACACGGTGCTCCAGCTGCTGTGTCCGGCCACCCTGAAACAGGAGTCAGCTAGTGACGCCTGCCAGCCCAGCAGCCATGTCCCTCCCTAATGAGACCTTCGCCTTTTTTCTTTCTTTTTTTTTTTAGAATTGTCTTTCTCTTACATTTGCGGTTTTGGTGAGAGAATAATTCCAGGTACAATATTCAGGGAACCAGAAAGCAGAAAGCTGAAGGGACCAGAGATTAGGGCAGCCAGGAGTAGACAGAGAACCCACACCAGCCAGACACTCTCGCAATCTGAGCAAGGGACAAAAGGAAGCTTGGAGGTGGCTCCAGCCTAGACACTATAGAGGGCCAGCTGCTCTGGCCATGCAGTGGTGCCATGCTTCCTGCCCGTCCCCGACTGCGCACTTGGCCACCAATGAATCCTACGTGTCCCTCCCCCAATAGCATCTCGACACATTCCTTTTTTTTTTTTTTTTTTGAGATGGAGTGTCACTCCGTCGCCCAGGCTGGAGTGCAATGGCGCAATCTCAGCTCACTGCAACCTCCACCTCCCAGGTTCAAGTGATCCTCCTGCCTCAGCCTCCCCAGGCACTAGGACTACAGGTGTTTCACCACCACAGCTGGCTAATTTTTTGTATTTTCAGTAGAGATGGGATTTCACTGTGTTGGTCGGGCTGGTCTCAAACTTCTGACCTCAAGTGATCTGCCCACCTCAGCCTCCCAAAGTGCTGGGATTACAGGCGTGAGCCACCACGCCCAGCGCCGACATATTCCTTTCTCAGAACTGGGGTCTCTTGCTTGCTCCCAAGACCCTTACGATGCCCACTAAGTGCTAAGGTGGCACCAGATCGCTGCTTCCCAGCCTCAGGTCTTCAGGACAGCTAATGTCCACAGCTCTGCCCCTGCTCTCTCCTCTGATCCTGGAGCCCTGGTGGAGAAGCTACAGTTTGCTAATCTGTAGGGATACACTGGGCTAAAGGCATGTCTGAGGATCCTTTTGACCTCAATATTCTACAAGCCCATGGTCATGATAAAGAATGTGGGATAAAGTCCATATCATGGGATTCTGAGACAGCTACTTTCAGTCTTAGAAATACCACTTTGAGGACTTAGGAGTTAATAATACACTACTTTATTGCAGCACTATTCACAATAGCACAGACTTGGAATCAACCCAAATGTCCATCAGTGGCAGACTGGATTAAGAAAATGTGGCACATATACACCATGGAATACTATGCAGCCATAAAAAAGGATATGTCTCGCCGCTGTGAGATGTGGTCTCCTGAATACAGCAGACTGGTTATGGGCTTGCTCTTATCCAGTTTGCCAGTCTGTTGTCTTTGTAATTGGAGCCATTTAGTCCATTGTACATTTAAGGTTAAGAATTTGTGTATGTGTGAACCTGTCCTGCCTATGTATGATATTAACTGGGTTATTTGCTCGGTAGTTGGATGCCGTTTCTCCTAGCCTCGGATGGTGCGTATTACAGTTTTGACATGTTTTTTGGCAGATGGCTGTTGTAGCCGGTTGTTCTCTCCATGCTTGAGTGCTTCTTTCAGGTCTCTTGTAAGGGCAGGCCTAGGTGGTGCACAAAATTCTCGAAGCATTTGCCTTATCCTGGTAAAGATTTATTCTCCTTCACTTTATGAAACTTTTTTAGGTTTGGCTGGAATGAAATTTCTGTCGCTTTGAAATTCTTTTCTTTAAGCAATGTTGAATACTTGGCCCGCCCCCACTTCTCTTCTGGCTTGCGAGAGTTTTCTGCCGAGGAGAATCTGGCTGTTAGTCTGAATGGGCTTCCCTTTGTTGGCTAAACCCGACTTTCTCTCTGGCGCTGGCCCTTAAGATTTTTTCCTTTCATTTTCAACTTTGT